TTTTAAAAAAAAAAAAAAAAAAAAAAAAAAGAAGACATCAAAATTAAAGAGGGAAAAAAGATTTTAACACCTGGATAAGACACTCAACTTTGAATCTTCTGGCAACTAGGATATAAAGGAAACAAAATTAGTTTCCATTTTCTGACCAAAAGAAAGAAGGATACAACTTTATCTATAGAGACAAAAACCTTCCTGGAACTAGTGTAAGCAATTAACATCCCTTTTTTTTGTCTAAATGGGACTAAGGAGAAAGCTCCTCCCCACTTTTGCACAGGAAAAACATGGATTTACTTTAATTTTGAGGATATGCAATCATGGTTGAATTAGTCAACACTTACCAGCATCATTTCCATCTGTAATAATGGGGACAGTAACTATTTACCAGTGGACTGAAGGAAAGAGTAGGTTGTATAATTTATGTAAAGTACTCAGTAAACTGCTTTGAGTAATTTTACAAAACAAAAAGAGACTGAATCAGCCTTTATTTTGATCTTTTTTTTCCCTCGCCTGTGGTACTGGGGACTGAACCCATGGCCTTCACACTGAGCTGTTTTACCACCACTTTTATATTTTAGTTTGTGACAGGGTTTCACTAAAGGCACTAAACTGCCCAGGCTGGACTTGAACTTTTCATCCTCCTGCTCAGCCTTCCAGACTGCTGGGATTTTCAGCTTCCCCACCGTGCCTGGCTGATTTGCTTTTTAGAAGAGCACAGAGCATACAATACCTTGTGACTTACTGGAAGGAATTTTGTAAATAGGTGCAAATATTTTCACCCCAAGTGGAATATGTGAGACAAAGATTTTTTGTGGTGCTGGGACTCAAACTCAGGGCCAAGTGCATGCTAGGCAATTACTCCAACACTGGGCCACACGCAGCCTTCCCTACTCTGCTTTGTGACTTCATTAACCGTGAGAGTTTACAACAGAGAGGTGTGCAGAGGCACAAGACCTCAATTCAGTTTAGGATCCCTGCTTTTTTTTGGGGGAGGGGGAGACTGCTTTTTTTGTGGGGAGACAGGATTTCTCTATGTAGTCCAGGCTGGCTGTGAATTTGTGATCTTGCCTCGAACTTGTTTTACTAAGCTTTAATTTTTATTTTGCTTTGAAAAGAATAAAAAGCTGTTTTTAGATGTTTGGCATCATGAAAAGCCCCCAAATTAAATGACGATGATGATGATAATAATGATGATGGTTACTCTATGGTACTGGGGATTGAACCAAGGATTTTCACACTGAACTACATTTTCAGCCCTTTTTGTAGTTTTAAATTTTGACAGGGTCCGGCTGAGTTCACTAAATTACTGTAGCTGGGCTTGAACATGGGATCGATCCTCTTGCTTCAGCCTCCAAGCAGTCCTGGCTAAACCCCAACATTAGATTATCAAGCCATAATTACTCAGGTGAGGATGCACTGTGAAATGCATAAAAATCAACTATAAATATTAATCAGATATGTAGTCATACAAATATCACTAATGTCATACAGGAATAGGAAACTTCTATGAGTAGTTTCATCTTGCTAGTATTTAATTTTTATGCTTAAACATATTTTCTTCTCAGCCCACTAAATAAAACTTTTCAGTTATTATTTGGATGCACGAGTATGTGTTTTCAAGTACAATGTACAAAATACATAGAATAATATTATGTATATTTTAAGAGTCTAGTATAATCCTTTAAAATCAAATCAGAATTGTAATTCTGGAAAAAAAACCTCACACAACTCCATGAGAAAAAATGTAGTTGATAAAACTGCATACATATTAGTACTGTAGTTAGTCTCTCAAATATTCAATTTTAAGGGCCAGGGATTTAGCTCAGTGGCACTGTGCCTGCCTCACAAGCTCAAGGACTTGAGTTCAATCCCGGGTAACAACAACAACAAAAAATTCCATTTTATAAACGTGAAAATTCTATACAGTATATGAATCAAGTTTCCACAGGGAAGAAATAATTAATTGAAGGCAAAATTATTTATACATGTTAGGTACAGCCTAGGATATCAGAAGTGAGAATAAATATTTTTACAAAAGTCCTACATAGCTGTTTAATCTGTTCTTAGATCATCTACCTAAAAGTCCCTCCTAAATCCTGTCCAGGGATACCTTCTAAATGCGTTCACTCATTAGAAGACATCTAAAAGAACTTACTCCCAAACTCACTCCGCAGGTGGAAATGACCTTGCACTCCCTCTGACAGTTTCCGGGATGTGTGCCTTTGAACTGCTTCTGGTCCTAATCTACTTTTCACCTCTCTCAGTATAATTCTTCCATTAATTTATTCCCAAACATTTGGTACACTTTTTCCACAGTAGGAAACAATGTCTTTAGGACAGTCATAAATCAACGAACTGCTTTAAATATTTATTTTTTAGAACAACAAAAAGGTAAAAAGATGGCTACAAGAAGGCAGTGATGTGTGAAAGTGCTCAGGACCTAAATACTAGGTGAAACTATTTACCACATGCTGGTGAGGATACGTAGCCATGAAGCTCTCAAGTGCTGAAGGGAGAACTGCAAAAGCGCAGTTACCTTGGAAAAGCCCAGCAGTTCCTTAAAACACACACCTCAGCAAGGTTCACCTCAGCGTTTGTGCTGCAAGGTTTATATGTTCCTGAGAGACGTGGAAATTTATGTTTACACAAAAACCTGTACATGGTTAGTTGCAGTTGCTTTACTTCTATTTTATAGTGTAATATTAACCTAACTATATATTAACAATAGTTATAGTTAATATATTATTTTAAATGTCCCCAAACAGAAACGACAACTCCAATGTCTATCGAGTGGTGAATGGATTAACAAATGAACATCAACACAATAGAGTGAATATAATGGGCACAGTAAGTGAAAAGCTAGACTTAAAAGGCTACACATTGTAATTTCATTTGTGTGACATTCTGTAAAAGCTAAAACTGTAGGTATAGAAAACAGATCAGTGGTTGTTAACGTAGGAGATTGGGGAAAAGGGTCAACTACAGAGTGCACGGGAGACTCCTTGGGGTGGTGAAATTATCCTATAACTTGACTAGGGTGGTACAGTATTTACACAATTCTATCAGAAAGCACAAAAACAAAAAAAGTGAATCTTACTGTTTTTATATTATATTTTAATAAACCTAACTAAAAAACAAAACAAAACAAAACTGGGTATGACTTCGGGTTACTAACTGGCTTTTGGCAAGCCATTTAAAACTAATTTTTCCTTCTATAAAATGGAAATTATTTTAAAAAGATTTTTGGTAAGAAACAAAAAAACTCTATGAACATTAAGGATCAACAGGAATATTATATACTGGACACTGGGTATGAAATGATAATAAGAGGCTGGGAATTTAGCTCAGTGGCACCGTGCCTGACTCGCAAGTACAAGGTCCTGAGTTTGATCCCCAATAGCAAAAGAAAAGAAAAGAAAAGAAAAAAAAAGATACATAGGAGCATAAGAGCGAGGTACACTAAAGAAATTTACTGTCTCATAGCAGAAAGAGATACATCAGATAATAATTAAATGATACAGAAATTCAGTGACAGAGAAGTGAACAAATCAATCCTGGTTAATAAGAAGGAGCATTCTAGAAATACGAATTAACTCTACAAAACAGTATATCCCAAACTGATCACAGTGAGATGCAAATATAAGAAGTAATTAATAAGCACAGTCACTATTTTAAACAAATCATATCAATAATCTTAAACCAATATGGATTTTTGAAAATACTTAAAATGGTAAAAATGATTACAAAATGGAAGAAGTACCTCACGATGATTTAGAAGTTGTTCTAAATCTAATGCCATTTGGTTCTTCATCTGTAGCAAAGCTGATTTTTCTTTATTTAAATTGCTGGAAAAAAATTCAAGTTTTAAAAAAATGATCACGTTAGTGTAAATTTAGTTAATAAACAGTAAATAGCAAAAGAGTATAAACATAAATCTAGTCATTTGAATTAAAGATTAATTAAATTTGTAGACAAGAAAGATACCAGATCAGCTACTGTACTGTTTAATTTAATGACTAGTCAAGTTCTTTAGTGAGAGGATTCTTTCTTTTAATAACCATTCGACAATGCAATTGAGATGCTTTCTGAGAACACTTTTCTGCCTATTAGGGGCATAAAAATCAGGGTTTTAAAGTTGACTTCTAGCTGGGTATGCTGGTGCACACCTGTAATCCCAGCACTAAGAAGCTGAGGTATGAGGATCAGTTGAGAGTTAGAGGTCAGCCTGTGCTATATAGTGAGTTCAAGTCCAGCCTGAAGTACACAGGGAGATTCTGTCTCAAAAAATAAAACAGAACAACAACTACAAAAAATTAAAGTTGACTACTTACTCCTGAAATGTAAAAATAGGAAGTGGGATTTATCTAAAAGGAAAAAAAATGTTTATATGGGCAAAATATTAAAACATAAGATACTGGAAGTCAAATCACACACACACACACACACACACACACACACACACACATATATGTATATCCTTAACGTTAAAAGTAGCACTTTAGAATTTACCATGTTCTAAATTACTATGTATATAAACAAGTTAGGTTGATGAGTCAGTCTGGGGTAAATGATTTCTATTTTCAGTTTTTTCCCCTTGCATCAGTGAGGACTGAACCTCAGATCTTCACACTGAGCTGTACCCTCAGCCTTTAAAAAAAAATTAATTAATTAATTAATTTGTTTATTTTGGTACCAGGGATAGAACTCAGGTCCTTGCACTTGCGAGGCAGGTGATAGAACCACTGAGCTAAATCCCTGGCCCTTTTATTTTTATTTTTGAGACAGGGTCTCACCAAGTCACTAAATTGCCCAGGCTGAGTTTGAAATTGTGACCCTTTTCCACAATCTCTCAGAGAAGCAGGATTACTGGTATGAGCCACCACACCTGGCCGCATTTGGCTTGTTTTCTGAAAAAAAAAGGTGAGAAGCTATTTCAAGATCCTAACAGTAAAGACATAGTAATATTTCAAAACAGAAATATTTAGGACCTGTTTTCTATTATCTGTAGTTTTATTATTCAACAGAGAAATTAAGTAGAACAATTACATGAATTCTAAGACTACTAGAAAAAATCTACTCAACCAGCACTATACAATAATTAAGAAAAGCAGTAATACATCAAACGTTGAGGAAAAATTTGTAAGGATAAATTTAATGAGAATTATTTTGCTGAAGAGGTAAGGTATCTTTAAATCATACTTTAAGAAAATGGAAGGCTACCAATTATTTCAATACTAGGCAGTTTTTCTGTTTTTTTTTAATTTGAGGAGCACTAGCAGGCACTCTAGAAGAACTGCTAATTCCAAGGATTTCAGAAGGAAGAGCCTACATATTCCTTCTTCCTAGTAACTGGGAACTCTCTCAGGAAGCGTCATAGTTTGTCTTCTAGAAGACAGACCAGGTACAGGGCTGACTTCCGTTTCCAGCTGGGCCACTGACTCAACTGTGTGGTACAAAGCATAACACACACCACACACTGAACCTCAGCTTTCACATCTGTAAGAGTGGAAAATATTCATGTGTGTCACAGGGCTATGTGAATTATTTAATGATTATATAAAGCACTGAACGCATAAAACTCTATAAATGCTATACAGTATTACTAACTTAGATGAAAAACAGGCATCACAGGAAAACAGTAATTATGTGCCAATAAAGGTAAGCAGCTCAGCAGAAAAACAAACTGACTTTCAGAGTTAGGCGCCAGGGATCCTACTCAGCTGAGGAGTTGAGGAAACAGAGTGCCCCTCTCAGCCACAGACCCTACAGCATGGGAAGGATCAGATGTTTCTGTGACTCTAAAAGTCTAATATATCTGTAGCCGGAATCACTTTGGAGATAAAAGTTTTCTTCAAAATTAAAGTAAAACCAGTGAATAGAACTAGGAATTTATGAGGAACACACAAGTGTCTGTATTCACATACAAGTGTGCTTATCTGCACACCATGTAAACCCAAGTTCACACGCCAGACACACGTACACAAACTCTCCCTCTCTGTTCAGACAGTACATAAAATGTAATACAATGGGGATGGAATGTTAAATTACAGGATTTTGACCAGATGATTTTTTTTACAAATGCTTCATATGGAGTGTTTAACTTTTCAAGAATAAAGTAAATACTCTTTAGTCAAACAGCCCCTCCCATATGGAATTAAAAAGTAGGTGGATAAATTGACTTACAGAGCAATTGTGTCCTATCTAAAAGATGTCAATTTATCACAAATACTACGGACCCTCTAGACAACATTTCTTTGATTAGAATATGTGAGGACATACTTTTGATCTTAGTCTTTGTTATAATATACTCAGACCACAAAGGACACAATGTTTGACAAAGTGGGTCTCTAAATCTTCGTATGATGATTATTACATTCACTGTTCTGCTAGTACATGTGATTACTCAACAGAAGTTTAGTCTTTGTTAGACACATTTCATAAGAGTGGAAACTTACCTTAAAATATACAAAGCTTCTACGTGTGACTCATAAAATAACTACAAAACAAATCTCCTTATAAGCACATCTACCTTGAACGGTATATTACACCCATAATTGTTCAATTCACTGTTAATTATTACTTAGAAATTCACGTTTATGGTTCTGTTTCACCTGCCTTATGAAAACATATTCCTGATATATTATTTCTTAACTTCCTGGATCAATATACTCTGGCTTAGCCTTGTACGAGAAGTTGACAATGTGGTCTTTTTTCTTTTTAACTACTAGTTAAGAATAAACTGACAACAGGGAAAGAAAATTTATGCTAATTCTTCTCTTTCCAGGCTTCCTTCTGTTCTGAGGTAGAGATCAAACCCAGACTGTCTCTTGTGGCTTGGCAGAGGAAAGTGAACAATACTACTCTTAGAATGGGTTATTACTGTAATGACAGGGGAATTTAAAGCAGTTACCAGTGACAGCTCAAATGTTAGCTTTTAACACATCTGTAACGACTTTTTTCAGGGTGAATTTACTCTCTTCTTTGTAGAAACTGAACATATTGCATAAGTGGCTAAATTTGCAAAAGATGAATATTGTATAGTGGTATTGTTTATTCTAAGAAAAGCATAAAATTATTTGGTTCTTTATAGGGCTCTTATTTTATAAGTGAGTTTTTTTTATATTCATGGCTGATACATTCTTTTTTTTTTCGGGGGGGTGGTACCAGGGATCGAACTTGGTTCCTTGCACTTGAGAGGCAGATGGCAACACCACTGAGCTAAATCCCTGGCCCTAAACATTCTTTACAATTAAAATCAACCCTACCAAGAGAAAATAGGAATTTGACTCAGCTATGACTTTGGTGGGTATCTTTCCAAAAGAATTAAAAGAATCATACTACAGTGATATATGTGCACCTATGTTTATAGTGGCACAGTTTGTAATAGCTAAAACTTGGAAACAGCCCAACTGCCCATCAACTGGAGACTGGATAAAGATGTGATTTTTCTATAAAATGGAGTACTACTCAGACATAAAGAATGAGAAACTAGAAAGATTTATAGCTAAGTGGATGCACATTGAGGCTATACTCTTAAGTGAAATTATTAAGTTACACATGTGTAAATACTGAATAGTTTCTCTGGTGTGAAAAAGTAAAAGTGTAAATAAGGATTAAAATGTTAAAATGTATAACTGATATTGTGTAATAGGAAGAAAAGTCTAAAAGTAGAGGAAGTGGGAGGGGTAGAGGAAAGGTAAAAAGGAAAAGAAAACACTTGTGAAAAGGAAAAACATGGAAATAATGTCTTTGTAAACAGGGAAGGGTGGAGGGGTTGCGGGGAGGGCTAGAGAATGGGGAAAAATAAGAAACTGATAAGTCATGTATAGGTACAAGATCCCAGTGATGAATGTAACTGTGTTGTATACCTAATATGTACCAATAAACTTAATAAAGTTAAAAAAAAGAAATATAACTTGGTTACCCCTTTGGATGACAATCTTATGTTTGAATTTTGAATTAATAGAGGATGAGTGGAGGGGAAGTAATTTAGCGAATTTCTCTGATGTGCCAGAAGCTTTATACAGTGTTCTCCTTTGCCACTCCTTGAGATTCACATTAATTCCATGCTTCACAGACACATTCTCCATGAGAAAAGAAGCCAGGCCGATGTGTACTCAAAAGCCGGGATGACTCCACTCCAAGAAACCCACTGGCTCAGAGCAGGGGAAGAACCAAGCGCACACCCTGAGGGTGTGCAGGCCCGGGGACACATGGAAGCAGGCACCTCAACGGCAGCCTCTCAGTGCCACCGTCAGACTACTGAAGACTGCACATTTTCACTTTGCAAGGTGATTGCATTGATTAAGAGCAGCGTTTCATGTTTTAAAATAGGAGTTCGGAATGTACTGAAATGTACAATCAATTTATGAGACCGTATTAAAGGACTCAGATATTTAGCAAATAAAACTTTGGTAGTTACTGCCATAGTTGGTATAGCTTTTATACTTACTGTCCTTATTAAGGAAGCCTTAATTTTTGCCCAAATCTAACATATTTTAAGATCATCTCTCTCTCTTTCTCTCTCTCTTTTGGTACAGGGATCAAACTTGGGATGTTGCACTTGTGAGGCAGGCGGTGGAACCACTGAGCTAAATCCCCAGCTGTAACCTATTTTAAGAAGTATCTGTTAGGTTTTTTTCTTTTCTGTTTTTGTGGTACTGGAATTGAACTCAGGGCCTCATACATGCTAGGCAAGAAATCTACCAATGAACTATATCCCTAGTGGTTTTCTGGGAGATGGGCGTTGGAGACAAGGTCTTACTATGTAGTTCAGGCTGGCCTTGAACTCACTCTGGAGCTTCAGCCTCCCAGGTGCTGGGATCACAGGCATGTGCCACTATGTCTGGCTGTCCCTAATGTTATTTGTCTATTATTTAGGTACTGGGGATCAAACTCAGGACCTTGTGCTTGCAAGGCAGGCAGGGGCACCACTGAGCTAAATCCCTGGCCCCCAAATGTTTTTTAAAGCTTTTATTTTGAAAGATTCATAGAGTCATCCAAACTGGACTTGAACTTGCAATTCTCCTGCCTCAGCTTCTGGGTAGCTGGGATTACAGGTGTGTACGACCATGTCCAGCTTATTTCTCCTTCTTAAAATAATCATCACTACACACACTTGTTAATGGGAGGATAGACACTAATGAAAGCAAACATTCTTGAGCAACTACAATGTCTAGGCCCTATGCTACATATATTATAAAACTCACCAGCACAGCCACATCTGTGAGGTGCTGTTAACACCACTCCTACTTTGCAGATGAGGAAGTGGTTTTCCTCTTCAATACGATAGCTCTCAGTCACAGTAGTAGTTACAATTTAATTTAGTTATAACTAAAAATGTAGTTCATCAGGAACTCTAGCCACATTCCAAATGCACATTTACCGCGATGGCAGCGGACAGGGGCTACTTTTACATCATGAGAAGTCCTATGGACAGTGGAGGTTTGCATCTCACCGACCTGCCCCACGTCAAAGCCAAGTACTGTTCTGGGCTGGACTGATTGATCGATTGATTGATTTATAGTACCGGGGATCAAATTTGGGCCCTTCTGCTTGTGAGGGAGGCGGTGGAACCCATGAGCTAAATCCCTGGCCCTGGACTGGATTTTAATCCATGCAACCTACCCAGAGAGCCTGCAGTCCCTTTTAAAATATTAAAAAAATAAATAAATAAAACAAAAACCAAGTTTAGTACAGAGTTTCTAAAGAGAGAAAAGACAAAAAACTTATATCTATCACCCAGCTTCAACAATTATCAACTCAAATCCCTACTTTTAAGTACTATTCTACATTGTTTTTTGACTTCACTTCCTTAATTGTATTAATTAATGAAAAATTATCCATATTTGGAATAGAACAGGAGGCAATACAACATAATGGTTAAAGAGTACAGAATTAGGAAGTGGATTGGTATGGATTCAAATTCTGGCTCTGCTGCAAAGCTGTATGCTCCTAGCAAACAAACTGCTGGCTGGGCATGGTGGTGTATAATCTATAATCCCAGCACTCAGAAGGCTGAGACAGGAAGACTGCCATGAATTTGAGGCCAGCCCGGGTTATAGTGAGTTCAAGACCACCTTGAACTACACAGTGAGACCCTGCCTCAAAATCCCCCCAAAATAGAAAAAGAAAAACCAAGACAAAATACCCCCCCAACCCCAAACAAAACAAGTTACTTAGTAACTCTTAATAATGGTGGAATTTGTTCATCTTTATAATTCTCTCCTACAGTTAGCTATTATTTTCCTTTTAATACATTTCAGCCATCTTCATTCTTAACAATATTAGTGTACAAATAATATTTAAAGGTAATTATAGGGCTGGGGATGTAGCTCAGTGGTTCTACCACCTGCCTCGCAAGCACAAGGACCTGAGTTCGATCCCCAGTACCGAAAAAACAAAACAAAAAAACACTTAAAAGTAATTATAACAGGTAAATTTTCCAAGTCTCTCTATAGTTTAAGATTGTAAACTATAATTTCAAATATAAACATGTAACAGTAAAAAAAAAGTTCAATTAGAGGTTTCTCCCTCAATTTTCCTGAGATACCCAAATGCCCAGTAGATGATGAAAGACATTATATCTATTGTTTCTGATATATATTTATAATTGTTAACTGATAAATATAGTGAAACATAAGTAATTTTAGCTTTAATCTAAAATAAATTATTACTTATTTTGATGTTCAAAACACGATTTTAAATTATTTATCATATTATCAAAAAATTCATATCATGAGCAACGTTCTGGACAAATTATTTTGGTGTGGTAAAAATGAGAGATGAGAATTATTCTCATTAATCCCTCAATAAAAATCCCACTTATACTTTGGAGTTAATCACTAATAGTTTACTTATTTGGTTGTACACTTTAGAAAAAGCAGGATTTAATTTTTTTCATTAAGTTTATTGGTACTTGTTAAGTATACAGTGCAGTTACATTCTTTGGGATCTTGTACCTTTACATGACAGGTCTTGGTTCTTATATTTTCCCCATTCCTTGCCCTCCCTTCTCCCCCTTCACTCTTCCCCATTTACAAAGACTTTGTTTCCACTTTTTCCTTTTCTCATATTAGAAAAAGCAGGATCTAATAACCAACTTCTCGTTTTCCAATTTCTTAATACTTTTTATTCCCACCTAATTCCTTGCTCTCATGTTTACAATGGGTTAATAATTTATCCTGAAAAATTTACATTATCATAATAAAATGAGAATTTTATAATAATCTTAGAATATAATAAGCCACCTAATCATTCATCAATTAAAACCTTTTTCAAAAAACAAAACAAAACAAACACAACACATAGCATCAAACCTATTTCATTTAAAAAAACTAAAATGATCATGCAGATGAACACGTAAAGAATTTGAATGACTAACAGATGGAGTGAATCTTCAGATCAGGTCTCAAAAAGAAAACAATTCTAAACTAAGGAAGTAAAAAGAATTTATTTGTTTACATTGAGATAATTCATGGGTTACTTCATGTAAGTGTCACGGAAGAAAAGCTTAAAAAATTCCTTGGCAAAGTCAACATGAATCTACGTCAGTGTGTACGTTTCACTTGTAAAAGCCACTTTAACTCCACACTGGATCTGTACATAGTCTCCCACTCGGGGACCAAGGACAGGACAGTGCTCCGTGCTGAGACTTCAGACCCCAAGGTGGGGCATCAAAACACCTGATGGGGATGTCATGTGGTTTTTCTAAGACAAGTTGAAGTCTCACTGCATTTAAGATCATCTTCATTATGAAAATCTCTGCTCAGTTTACAATTGAAATTCATCTATAGTAGCAATATGTTTACAGTGCCTTTACTGCTCAAATGAAAGAGGTGTAGATGGCTTACCTGACATCTTTCTCGAGCTGTGTGATTGACTTCATCAGTGAATCAATCTTAGAATCTCTCTGACGTACCGAATCAATCAAGTATCTGTAAGGTTGCTGAGTTTGGTTTAACAGCGAATTGGCTCTGTCACGCTAAAGAAACACACATTTCATTACGTTTTAGAAAATCTGACAACAAACTAAAATCATTAAAAACTCTCCAGCACAAACTAGCTAAAAATAAGGATCTTTCATTTGAATTTTATTTCTACTGAAAATACACAATCATAGCATAATTTGGCAATCTGTCTTCTTCTTTTCCCTTTGGTGGTACTGGGGATTGAAAACCCAGGGCTTTTGCACCGAGGCCCTGCACATCCCTGGTGCTTTTTATTTATTTTTAATTTTGAAACAGGGTCACGCTGAGTTGCCCAGGCTGGGCTTAAATCTGAGGTCCTCCTTTAGCTTCCCAGACTACCAGGAATACAGGTGTGCATCACCACAGTGGCTGATTTAGTTATTTTCAGTTTTTATTTTCTTGCTTTAAAAATATATGACTTATGTACCTGATGACTATGTATAAATTTTAAAGTTGTGGTGAAGACATGAAGTTTACCACTTTAAACATCTTGAAGCACACAATTTGATGGCATTAGGTATGCTCACAATGTGGCACAGCCTTCAGCACTGTCTTCTCAGGGGAGGCGTTAGGGATCGAGTCAAGGGCCTGGTGTGCGTTAAATGCGTACCGTACCACGGACACCCCAGTCTCAAAGCATATGCTGAATCACTACTAAGTAGTTTGCACACACTCTGTGATGTTTTGGCGGTGGTAGTGCTGGGGATTGAACTTGGGGATCTTAACCACTGAACTGCACCCCCAGCTCTATACTACCTATTTCCAGAACATGTTCATCAGCCCAAACAAACTCAGTGCCCATTAAGCAAAAACTCCCATTGTCCCTCCTCGGGTTCTGGCAATCTCTATCCTACTTGGTGGCTCTAGGAATTTGCCTGTTCTGGACAGCTCAAAGAAGTCATCCTACAGTGTGTGCCTATTGGTGTCTGCCCTTTTCACTCCTCAGTGTTTCCAGGCTCATCTGTCTTGTGCCATGTAGAAGAACTTCACCCTGTGATGCTGAAGAGTATCATACTGTACGTTCGTAGCATATTTTGTTTACTGTTTACCTACTGATGGACACTTGAGTGTTTTTGCTTTCTGGCTAGTTTGAGTAATGCTGCTAGGAACCTTGGTGCACAAATACCTGTGTACTCTGATTTCAACTGTTTATAGAGTATCTACCCGGCAGTAGGTGGCACTACCTAATCCCATATTTAAGTTTCTGAGGCACTGCTGACTGTTTTCTACAGAAGCCATTTAGTTCCATTTTATGTTCTTCCCAACAATCTACTTAGTTCCAGCTTCTCCATATACTACCCAACCCTTGTTAGCTCATGTGCAAGAGGCTATTATATTTCTTTGGAGAAATGTCTACTCAAGTCTTTTAATTTTTTTGTTGTTGAGTTACAGGAGCTCTTTATATAGTCTGGAAAATAAACTCTTACTAGATATATAATTTGCAAATATTTTCTTCCCTTGTGTGGGTTATGTACTCTCTTAATAATGCCCCTTGAAGCACAAGTTTGTGTGTGTGTGTATGTAATATATATATATATATACACACACACATATATACATGTATAATATGTATATATATATACATACACACACATATGTATATATATAAAATGTATGTCTCACACTTTGTAAAATGGGTTATACAGATTCATGGATTCCATGGACAGACTCACACATGCACATAACATACAGGTTCATTTTCACTGTCTCCCCATTTTGCCCTCTGTACTGGCCTCACTTCCATTTTGCTTGTATGGATTCCCCACCTCCTGTTCTTATACCCTTCCTCCTTGTTTCCCTTTTTTTTGGTACCGGGGATTGAACTTGGGACCCTCTTCTTATCTAACATAGTTTCCCTTCGACTTTCCTGTCATCTTTTTAAGAGTCTACATATTATGGAGAACATGAGATATTTGTCTCTCTGATCCTGGCTTATTTCATTCAACACGATGTTCTCCAGATCTATCTTCCCGCAAATGACAGTTTTTTGTTCTCTCACTGTGCATATATATCATATATTCTTTATCTGTTCATGCTGGGCATCTAGGCTGGCCTCACATTCTGGCTACCACAAACAAGGGTATGCAGGGATCCCTGCTGACTTAACTGTTTCAGGTATATACTAAGGTACAGCTGGATCACTTGATCTTAGCCAAACGGCCGAGAAGCAATGATACAGCTAGATCAAATAGTAGCTCTAGTTTGAGGTTTCTTTTGTTACTGGGGATCAAACTCGGGTCCTTGTGCTTGTGACGCAGGCGGCAGAACCACTGGGCTAAACCCCTGGCCCTAGTTTTAGGTTTTTGAGGAACCTCCATACTGATTTCTACAGCAGCTGTGCCATTTTTTTACACACCCAGGAGTAGTATAGAAGTGTTCTTATTTCCCCATATCCTTCCCCATTTTTTTTTTTTGTGGGATTGAACTCAGGGAGGGCCTTGTGCTTGCAAGACCAATGTGGTGCCGCTGAGCTAAATGACTGTCCCTTGTTTTTTGAGGCAGGGTCTTGCTATGTAGTTCAGGCTGGGCTTGAACTCACTATATAGCTCAGGGTGGCTTTAAACCCACAGATCCTTCTGCCTCAGGCTGGGTTTATAGGCATGCACCACCATGCCCAGCTAATG